ATATATTGTTACAGTAAAGCTGTGTATAATTATAATCAATAATCTTTTCCAAAATGTTCATCTGTAATTTTGACCATCTACAGATCGAAGACGGCTATCATATCAGAATTCCGTTAGAATTACTTTGATTTAGTCTAGAATACCAGACGGATTTTTCCCACGTTTTTATATTTTGTTTTACTGTGACGTATCGCAACAACTTTCTTTTCATACTATGAACTTTTCATTGCGGAAAAATGCGTAGCTGTGCCACACCCACGTGACTATATTCAGTAGCTCTAGTGCGAGTTTTGACTTTAAAAAGTTAGTTTAGTTTTCATTAAAACGAACGTTATTTGATTGCTATACAATTTTCGATATTATTTATAGTTTACGTTAGAAAGAATTTACAGCTTTATTGTGGTCTCTTTTACACGTTTATAAAAAGAAAAAGACTGACGCAACGATCCCGTACGTAAACAAAATAGAAAAATGTGGGAAAAATCCGTAGTGCGCGCTGGCTACCTAACCTCCTCAATGTTTTAAATATAAGGTCTTTGGCAGGTGGGCCGGACAACACCGAAATAAGTTTCTTTCGTTCTAACATAATATCATCAAATTAATTTGTATAAGACAGGTATTAACGTGATAGATTTCGATAGTTAGGTTATTCGCCATCTTATATTTACTAGGTTAAATCGTTTCGACCAGGTTAAACTTAACTATCGAAATCTATCGAGTTAATATATATACCGTCCTATAAAATATAATATAATGCAACCCGAAAGTTTAAAAGTTTATAATATCATTAATTTAGTTTTATTCATCGTAATTAATTTATTACTATAATTAAAAATATATACAACTGCTATGTATAAATAAACAGCATAATCAAATTAGTGTCAAACAAAATCATTAAGAATGTTAACCCAAACAATAGGTAGGTACAATTTAATATTTCCAGCAATATACTGGTACTTCATAGTTCTTCTTAAATAAGCGATTTTCAGCCTGGCTTTTTTTCTATGCACAATAGGAATTCCGAAAATATGCTTTAATACCCTCAACATTAAAACATGGGCTACCGTAAGTTATCTAGTGTGATTTTGTTTAACCATAGACAATTATACGCTTTACTGAGGAAGTATTTAAAAAAAAAACATTAGTTCCCGAAATCAAACTAGATGTCGCTACGGTACGTTCTGGATTTCTCCATGACAACCCTCCCAGTTTTCTTTCATGTTTAAAAGTAAATTAGTTTTCAAAACTCAAACAACTCATTTTTTTGTACTTTTCCGTATTTGTATACATATCTTTGTTTCGAACTTTTCAAATTTCAGTTTTTTAATATTATGTTAGTTAAAAGGAACAGAAATGACTGTCTTTGGTCCATTAGTTTCTTGCAAAAATCAACTTTTGCTAGTGCTTTAAATAACATTCACATTAAAATTTGTAGCCAGAAAAAGGATGATTTAAACTTAACAACGAAACTGAGACCTGACAGATTAAGTTTAAATGTTAAGGAAAGAGCTAAATCGGATTAATCCTGGCTGAAAATTTCTTATCGTTAAAGAGATTTTAGTGAGAATAAAAATTTACTAATACTCACGATTCTCCTGAAGCTTTCGCGTGATCCCGACCCCTGCTACCTGTAAAATGAGCATTTGGGCGATGCAATTGCATGATTGATGAATGCAGTTCTGATTTTTAATAACAAAAAAAAAGAAAAAGTAAAATTTTTAGTTCTTCTGATTTCTAATTGTTATTATATATTTTACTAGGTTTAAGTAATAAGACATGCTATACTTGACCTTACATACCTATTTAATGATGTCAAACTTAAGATTTGTTTATGTGAAAATAATAAATTTCCTTGGTTCCTAACTCATAAAGTAGACTTGTTGTAGTTTGAAATTCATATGAAAATTAAGTTTTTGAATTTAATTATATTGCCACATCAACAAGATCTCTTTATTTCAGTCACAGTTCAAGCTCACTTTAAAAAATGGATCTTTTCCAACTATTTAACAAACATATAAATGAAATATAAGCGCCATTAGTAAAGCACAATTTTGCTTCAACCATTGCAGTAAAATTACTATGTTAAGATCCCTGACTTGATGGGATTTCGACCGCTTTCGAATTTCGTTCGATTTCTAAGAATAACTAACTAATAAACTTGCTTCAACTTAAAAATTCAGAGGTTGAAAAAATAAAACGAAACATTTATTTAATAAATACTTTATATTGATTCAATTATATCCATTAAACGTAGTGATAAACATCAAAGGTATATTTGATTACTGAGACCGTATTTTATTATATGTTGTTATAAAAATCTTTGAACGACTCATATACAACATGCCACATAAGAAAAAAAATATTCGAAATTGTTTATTATATAAAAAGTTTTAATATTCGTTCAATGGCTGTTTTGATTAAATAAAAATAAGACAGAGCTATAATCGTGTATAGTGAAGTTCTACTTCTGATTATATTAGAGCTCATGATAGCCCCCCAAAAACATTTCGCGTTGTGTCTTCATATTGTTTCTGATATTTTACTTGTCGAAGTTTTAAATTAAGTGTATAACTATAATGTGTTAGTTAAAGATATTTTGCATGTAAGCTGAGACTCCCACACATTAATGGTAAGGTATAATATGGGACATATACCTATATTTTGGGTTTATGTAGAATATAAAAAAATACATTTTCTTTAATGACATGTTGTATTGATTACAGTAAAAACCTCGGTACGAATAGAACAAACTCCATAAGCTAAAAATAATTTTTGAGCGTATAATTTAAAAGCCTTAATTTTTTGGCGATGTGCATAATGGCAGTGTCAAATTTTCAATTAATTAGATAATTGACCCCAAATATCTAAAGAGCTATGCGAACTAATCGTTACAAAAATAAAAACTAAATTGATATAAAAAAATAAAACCTTAATGTTCTATGAATCTAATTTGTTACAAATAGTTAATTAAAAAAAATCACATTGGTGACTTAAAACGCTAGACTTAAAAAAAACATTCTATATTACAATAAGCCTTTGAGATTTCGAATTAATTGGATCGTTAAATACGACGGTGATATACTCTAAAAATATTACATCTATTAATATTACCTTTGTAATGTGCTTTTTATTATTAGTTATAAATTGAACAGAATATTGTGAAAAGGTATTTTGTGTATTTCTTTTTTTAATATTAATTCGAACGCTCATTTACGAACCAAATGTTTATTTTTTAGAGTAGACCCCCGACTCACCAGGGAGATTTTTGAAATAAAAAATTGTATAATGCTTAAAATTACAAGTTTGTGTCATTACAGGCATTGTATATACAAAAAAATAATAATAATATTAAAAATGGTGGTACAAACACAATATTTCTAAATGAAAGCGTAACTAAATTTAAATTTATTTATAACCTTAAAGTATGAATAATACAGAAATGCTAGGCAAAAGGATTTTTATTTTTCAATAATAATTATAAAAAATACTTTTCTTTCTGCAACAGAATATCTTACAGACGAAACAATTACATACTAATAAATAAGTCGCACGTCTTAAAATTACTTACTTAAGTATACAATTGTGATAGGAATTAACAAGACGCTGCGCAAAACTCATTTATTTTATAGCGAAATAAGCCAGTTAATGACTATGCAAAATGGATCCAACTTTAATTAGATTGATTTGTCAACAATATTTTTCTAAACTTGATTTCTTTGCTGTAATTTGTAATTCTGTGTTTTATTTATTCAAAGCATTTCATAAAAAAATGTCTTGGTTAGATCCAGTCAACATAACTATGCAATTATAGTTCAAAACTAGTGTCAATAGCAATTATACTGTTATTCATTTGTATTTCCATAAATAATATCGATTGATAGATACATCAACAATACTTTGATGATAAACTATTATAACACTAAAACGCTAACAGCAGCAATTATTGTTTCAATACGTTGGGGTTCGTTGTAATATGTAATATTACATCAAAAACATTCTTAGCTATACGAGATTCTTATATAATTTTTTCTACAAGTAGTTAATTTTAAAGTTATACCAACAATCAAGGAAAAAACTATACACTCAGAATTTTGATTAAACTGATGAAAAATTAATATAAAACATATTTCTGTAAATATGATCGTAATGTACAGTTTTTTTACTCGATTGTCTCGTAAATATTCAAAATTGGTGGACAACATTAGAAAAGAGTTTTTTTAATAAACTAGTCATAAAAGAAATGGCAATATTTAAAACATTTCTTAGTTTATCAATAAACCTATTTTATATAGGTAATGGTTCATTTAAATTTAAAAATTTCTTAACTCCGAATATTTTTTATTAAATGATATAAAAAGTATTTTAAGGTAAAAAAATACGGCTACGTTATTTTTTAGTGCCGACAGATGGCGGTGACGATGTTATTACTTCTTATAAACAAAAATATTAATTTTCTTGTGTAATAATGTTTTACGCTTCTAAAGCATATTATTAATGTTGTAGTGAACCATTGATTTGGTTATCTCGAAAAAATTTAGGTTAAAATATTAATAATAAGCATTTTAAGCGGTTAAATATGATTAAAAACACCGATAAAGAACACTACCATCTTCAGGCTCTCCTATTAAACATTATGTAAAAATGTAATAAAGTAACAATAATTCCATGACATTTTCTGGCACTAAATAGAACTAAACGAAATATTTTTCTATACCGTTTTAATGGCTCCTCGTTTTAATGCTATCACTCGGTGTTTTAAAAAAAGAATTCTTTTTATTCATAAAAAATCATTATGGAAGTTTCGTAACTGAAAGTCACGTCGATTGTGTTGTTGAAACTTAAATCCTGTGAACTTAAATTAACGATTCATCGGTACTGATGAAAATATAAATAAAACTTTAAGTTGGTTTAAGAGGATTTCCGAAAACTCACGTAGACTGCCTTGGGCAGTATCGGTTGAGTGGATCAAACTTTTATATAATTTTGTATTTAAATTTTTTGGTGATAGATAATATTGTTGATAGGAGGACGAAACTATCAGATCATATAATCAGACTTTAAGTATTAATGTCTGTTTGACGCTTGCTTAACGTTCATAATTAAGTATTTTAATGTCTAAAACCAATCCAAGCAGAGTTTCAGATCAAATTGTAACTTTCAGAACAACCGAGTGACAGCACAACTTACAATTTAGACAGCAGTGTCCGGTTTTTTCTCTGGGTGTTTCGTGTCTCCGTTGCTGATGTATTCGCCGTGGTCGTGGGTGGGGTTCTCCGCGCCCTTGACGTCATCGTGCGGCGGCAGAGGCGCCTCGGAGTCAGCCCCGTCCGGTATATCAGTCCGGTGTGACCTCCCTACAACACGTTAAGCGATCAAGAACTAGCCGCGTTTCGATATTCAAAAAGCTGTGCTTCTCTTTTCAGTGCGTTCGTTTATTTTTGCAATATTTCATAGGTATTCACCAAACTGCGTTATTTGTACTTTCGTAGTTTAATTTTTAAAAGCTGTATTTACATTTCTCTGTGCATAACGTTTAAGGCAAAACAAAGTCCGATTTTGATAAATCCTCTATGCGAAATTAAGCTTTGTTTTTAACGTGTTCGTTTTTTGAAAAGCTGTGCTACTTATTTTGTCTTTAGTTAATAGTGGTCTGTCTTATGTAAGCTGCACATGGAATTATTCTGTGCATAAATTCATGACACAATAATTGTTGAAGTTAAGCTTCTTTTTAATAAATCTGTGTTATTGTAGCGTCATAAAAAGCTGTGTTCATCCTTTTGGCTATAATTCGCCATTTATAGCTGTGATTCATTTATTTCAAAAGTGCATAATTATGTTACTTGTAAGTTTAAGTACCAACTCAGAATGCATTAGTGTGTGTGAAAAAACTTAAGTGCTTTTTATTAAAAAAAAAGTTACCTACACATGAAAGTTCTTTAAATATCAAAATTGATGTATGTTAAACAGAGTTCAATAAAATTTTGAGTTATCTAAAATGTACACGATACCGATTCGTTAATTGATTGATTGACCGGCTGATTGATTGCCTAATAGATTGATTGATGGATTAAAACGTACTTATAGAATATTGTACACACGACTGCAAGTCAGGATACCACAAAATATCCAAATTCCTCAATTGATTTTGAACTCTAACTACAGTGAATTAAAGTTCGAAATCAAGTGGAGACACTGGACAGTTTTGAATAGCCAGACGTGCTGTTGACTATACAATGATATGTTTTAAATAACTCTTCAATTTTTTGTAAAAGCTCGAAAAAAAATAGAATGGAATCTGATGCTTTAAAAGGGCACTTTACCGAATACGAATAAAAAATCTACCCTTCGGCGAATAGAAACGAATATGAATAATTTAACAAGGCATTAAAATACATATATGGTTGTTTTTAAATAAGATATTCAATAAGTTATATTTGTCACTAACAATATTGATAATACTGACAAAAAGCTTAACATTTATGATATACATATTAAAAATAACAAATGTCTATTATTTTGTCTCAATTCGAGGGTTATCACTTGCCATATTTCACAGGAATCATCTTTTCTTTTAATCTTTTAATGAACAAACTAGGTACCTACTACTCGTATGGATGAATATGATACTTATTCGAAATTTTGTCTTACGAAAACGAAATTTCGTTTATCTTCGAAATGCTCGTACGACTTCAAAGAGACGTATTTTTTGATTTGCACGGGTATCATTTCAACAGAATTATAAGAAAAATACGATATTTTCCGAATTTTCTATTAAGTGTCATGTTAATACGTACGAGTTATAATGTAATGCATTGTAGCATTCGCATATTACAAGATTCGCGACCGAATTGTGATTTATTTTTCGTACAGTTTTTCGATGAATCTTCGAAACGAGCGCCTAATTTAGAACAAAAAATGGCCGCATATTTTTTATTAAATCTATTCCAAATCATAATATATACAGCCAAATCAATCAATTAGTCTGTAGTGATCACTAAAGATACTAATTAATTTCATTATTTTTTTTTTATATAGAAAAGCACAGATCACCAAAATACATAGTTACCTCTGAATACAAAAAAAAATAAACAATTTGATATACCCAACACCCATTCTATGAAGTTTTTTAAATATTAAAAAAAAAATCCCATCACCATAATTTTTATATTAAATATAATATCATAATATATAAATCTCCACAAGCATGTACGATTAGAAAAATATGGTATTTTTTATAATTTAAAGAAAAAGTTTATGTTTGGAGAACATGAAAATAGGACGATTTTTAGTATACTGCCATAGAGTAAGTAATGGCAACTACTAAAACAGACAATAAATATCTCATAACAATAACTTCACAAATACTGGTAATATTAACAATAACGGTTAGTTCATGCAAAAGAAAATATGTAAAAATACATGCTGATTGCTAATAGAAAAGAAAGAAAAAAGATTCGAGACAGTTAATAAAGGCACGCGCATGCGCCGAAATTTTTTCGTTAAAAGTTTATCATGCAATTTCGATTCATTTTTTAGAAAAATAAAAACTAAATTTTGCACGTTCTTGATCGCTCAATATATTGTAACGGGCACATAACATTGTCATAATTACAATTAATACTTAAACACAATATAAAATACACATAGATTAAAGCGGAAATCGCCAAACACTGCCATAATGCGCATCATATACCACTACATAAAAAATACTTGTTAATTTTTTACTGACTCTTTTTCTCAATTTACGGTGCGTGATTGTGGTGTATAAGTGATTATCACTACTATTCAATTCTATTCGTCTTATTTACCTATCGGTTAACACCTCGTGATCCTGTTAGAAAGTACTTACGATTAATAAAAAAAATACTTAAGGACGTATAGCATGCCTAATTAATATTTAGAAGCGGTCTTAAGCAAGGACTTAAATATACATGATGCTGTAATAAATGCTTGAAAAAATAGCATTAAAAGTATTGAGGGAGTGCGTAGACATTGATTCAGACAAAAAAAATAAAGGCAGTAAGAATTAGAATTCCAAAGACTATTAAAATATATGCACACCTCAAATGTTTTAATGAATAACTGTCGTAATAACTACTGAGAGACATCTTCATCACCATTTTTTTATTAAATTGATTACTTATAATATAAAATAAAATAAAATTAAACAAATTGAAATTATTTTTGGATTTTAATTAAAAATGTAATCAAAATACCCGCTATTGAGAAACCACCAAATAGAGATTCCTCAGCCCCTTTTTACAAATTTTCAATATAATATCTCACTGAATAATTTGTAACATCTAAATTATGTAGAATACAATAAAATTAAAAAAATAATATTAAGAACTTATAGAAATGTCGTGCCAATTGTTCTGGCTGTTCTAATTTTATTGAGTCAAAATTGTCTCTTGTATAATTAATTCGTTAAAATTATTTCTTTGCGAATTATCTACGCATCAGCTAACATAAATTAAAAAACTTTTTGATGGGGTCGTAATAGCCTTTTAAAAATTTGCTCTTCCATGAACCTACTGAAAAACGGTATAAATTTTTTCTAAGGTAAAATATTTTAAAGTTGGTGATGAAGCTGATGTGAACTGTGTGGCAACACAAAGCGTTTTTGATTAAGTTATAAATGTTAATCTGGCGCCCAACTGTAACTAAATAAATAATACTTTTCTCAAAATATGACTATTTTTAGCAACGACGGTACACATAGCAGCATATCAGCTTATTATCTACAGTTATCATTTATGCCGAGTCCCCGGGTTCGATTTTCGGATTTAATATGTTTAGATTTCCGTGTTGCCACACATTTTAATATAAATAAAATTTTAACAATCAGTATATAAAGGAAACATATTCATTCACATAACATACATAGCGATAATAATATAGCTTTATTTAGGGCTAATATTTTCAAATACAATTAGGAGTCAATGGCGTCCAAAAGTGCACGGGCCCAGTCTGTCAAAAACCAACTCTATAACGGTAATAACAAAACGCAAAATATATTAAACACATATGTCAGCCCCCCAAATGGAAATCCAAATAAATAATCTCTTTATATTCACGCATTGAGTTGTTTTTTATTGAAAATAATGCATCGCGTGATCTCTACTCATTACAGGTGTAATTGTATAAAAAATAATCGCCCTTATAGCAAAAATCTGTCTTAACAAAGTAAGGACGAGTTTACATTGAAAAGGCATTAACAATTAAAATTTTACATCAAAAGATAGACAGCGAAATTATGCATGCATGTTGCAATGAACTTATTTTCATACCAAACATTTAATGTAAATTCTCCTTACACTTTTTAACTGGAACTAAATAGGATTAAATGTCATTATGCAGTCTGGATCCAACCAACAATTTCAGTGAATATAAGGTAAAGATCTTTACGATTCATTATTAGAACTTTGAAAATAGGGTAGTAACGGTAGTGAAAAATAAGTCACGAATTGCAAAAAAAAAAATTACATCGTACGAGTAATAAACACAGAGAGTCTGATTTAAAGTCTCAAAATCGCACGATTATCTTAAAATTAAAAACCGTGATTTTTTATCTATGTGTCACGTGTCTTAAAACACGACCCGCCATTATGTGACGCCATTGTGGCGACAGTGTCAATGTTGTTTTATGAGTTACAAATATTACTTAAAACACGGTAGAATACCGCATTTAAATAATGTCACACTAATATTAAAAACGTACGATGGCGGAATGATTAGTGCGCTCGGTCTGCAATATGGTTGTTAAACAACTTTCGTAAGGGCCGATCAAAGGATGGGCGATCAAAAATTTATTATCTCGAGCTCTTCCGTGCTTCGGAACGCCCGTTAAGTCGTTGGTTTCGACCAACCTACGTGGTAGGTCATAGCTAATTCTCTCTATTCGATTTTATAAGTTTTATAAACGAGAACTCGATTAGCACCTGGTTGATTTTTTTCGGTTAAAATGGTTGGATCCAATTTACACATAACATCTAGTTACATCATAGAGTATAATAACAGCAGACTTACCAGCGAAGCACCAGCGATCTGTAGCCTTAGCGAACACCAAGAGTGAGATAGCTGCAACCGCAATCAAGGCCGCTATCACTATGCCCACTATTGCCCCTGTATCCAGTTCTACGCCTGCAAGAGATAATATATTAAATACCATAATATCTAGTAAGACTGCTTTTTAAATCCTTTTTGTCCACCGCTGCAAAGGCATGTATCCACATTGCGAGGCTATTCGTTTAAGAAGTATTTGAGAGTTACTTCAACAAATGAAACACTTCTTCACATTGCGAGGCTGCCTTGGGAGGCGTTGGCTCACGAAAATTTTCCCTAGTAAAAATTAATTTGAACTCAGAGCAGAAACTTTTTAAATTGCCTCCAATTTGTAATTAAAAAGACATGAATTCGTTATACGATTACGGATTATCAAAGAATCTCTTATTCAAAATTTTAATTATTTTTTACCATCTCCAAAAGTATCTATATTATCATTTATACCTACCAAGAAAGAAAAATATTTACCGAGTAGGTATATCTATAATAGAGCACAATTAGACTCAAAAGAGGCATCATAATCGAAGAAAATAATTTATTAAATAAATAGCCATGCCCTAACAAAGTTCATATCTACCTAAAAAGTATATTATTTTGATTAGATACTCATGCAAATAGATGAAGTTTAATAGGAACTAAAACATAGAACAAGTATAAAGATTCTAAAGCATGTACGTATATTCATAATTTAAGTATTTTCAATTTTATTGACTAAATATAAGTCAATGTTATTTAAAGAAATGAGTCTTAATGTGGGCTTAAAACCTGTTCATAAGTAGTTTTTTAATTAATAAAAAAAATCTGCCGAAGTCCCATAGTATAAATAGTTTTATATATTATTTCTTCGTTTCCTCTGACGCAATGCTGTCGAAGTCACTCAGTGCCATATTTAATGAAAAATAATTAAGTTTGGCTTACTTAAAAACTTTTTATAAATGAAATAAGTATCTACAATTAAATTTAGAAACAAAAAATATAAATGAAATAATGCTTTTTTTTAAGAAATCATGCATTAGAAATATTCAAATATCGAAACGAAATTTAAGCATGCTTCTTATACAGGCTGTTGGTTTTTTTAAAGGTCATTATAATTGTTTTGAAAACCTTTGCAAAAAACATAAATTTATTAAACCGGCATTCGAGTTATATGCAACAGTTATAATTTTTATAAACTCATTCTAAGACATCTAAGTACACATTAAAATAAATACTTCAAAAATACTACAAGCTTTCTACTTATTTAAAATACTGCAACTATTGTTGCTTAGTATTTATTTCATAGCTAAGGTCAAAGTAATTCAAATGCTTATTGAAATCCACATCAAATGCTACTGATGCCGAGCATTAACATGACAATTCTTAAATTTTCAACATATTCAATTTGTGATGATGAAAATTGTCTACACAAAGTAGAATAATACAGTAGACATACAATAAGAATACAGGCTGCGTAATATAAGCTATGTAAATATTTTAGAGTGAGACAGCACTACACACGTCTATCTCGCTTCCAAGAGCTCAAATAACGGTTCCACCTGTATTTTTTTACTGCATTTCTATTTATTAGCTACTTATAAATCTTCGAAAATGTTTGAAAAACAGGCATACAAATTTTCGAGTAAAACCAGGCATAATACCAATATTTTTCACATAATTATATCATGTCTTACCATACATATCGAATATCAAAAACGATGACTTGGTTTTGCGTGCTGTTGGAAAGATAATAAATCAAGTAGATTAACTTTTCAAGAAAAAGTTTAAAAATATTATTTCGAATACCACTACATCCTTGATTTCCTCTCTCAATTTCTTAAAAAAACACCATGTTTTTACACATTATTATCTTTATCTCCTTTTAGGTATTTGTAAAAATAATACTGCCCTTTTTAATTTCCGAGGGTAGTCATAATTTTATTACTTTTGGACGTGAATAGATGCGAATTTCATGTTGAAAACATATTAATTTGACTATAATATTGGAATATTATGTTTATAGAGGGAAACATGAAATTTCAAACTACGAGTATTATGAAAATTTTCACTGATATATAAAATAAAATCGTCCCATTTAAAACTCTTAATTTGTAACAAATAAAATCATAAGGTTAGAATTTTAAATCTATTTAACTCTCTTTCTGCCTTCGTATTTCTCTCTCTCTCTTACCAGCTGGCTCATCCATGGTGCTAATGAGTACAGTGAAATCTTCAGTTCCTAGTTCGTTGATTGCACGTAAGTAATATTTCCTATCCACATCTTCTTTGGTGATGCGTGGGAGAAGTAGGGTAAGATTGTAGTACCCGCTGCCCTGTGAATTCAAAAACAGTTTTATATATAAACTTAAAAAATCAACTCAAGATATTGTGTCGGGAGTAATCAACACACCCAATAAAAAGCAATCCTCCATAATTTAAGTTACGGAAAAATTGATTTTTATATGGAACTGTAGTCTTAGGACAAGGTTATCGAGTTCGAAGTGGGAATAAAATTCAATTCGAGCAAATATCACTTTTTTTATTCATATTTGAATAGCGTAACCTTCCACCGTAAAGCTTGCTTATAAAACAACATGTGCGCCGTAAGTAAACAGACGTACGTACGTAAATTGGCTTACCAAATGTATAGGCTCTAAGGCGGTGATAGTGCCCATATCGTTGGAGTGTGATGGTTCGAGCGTGGTGTCACCAAAACGCCATTCAGGACGTGGCGGAGGGTTAGCGCGTACTGTCACGTTGAGGCGACCTTCAGAACCCAACTTCAGACCGAATATGGTTATAGTGCCAGACTCCAGACTTTTGGGAGGATCTGAAGAGATAAATAGAGATTAAAACACAAATAGAAGGAACGGTGATGGCAGGCAGGTAGTAAAATAATACGGTTCTCATCCCAATCTGAAAGATAAAATATATTGCAGTGATTTTTGTGGGTAGTTTACCATTAAATCCAAGATAACGTCAACGTTAGGAAGTTAACCAGCTAAAGGTCATTCGTCTAAGTGTCATTACTGAACGTAAAGTCACCTCACTATTGTAGTTATCATCGACAGTTGGTGGTAGTAATACCTGATGTTTAATGGTATTCAAAGCCCTGATTATACTTACAATGTATAACGAGTTGTCTCTTCGCTTCTCTGGGTTGGTCAAGAGCTTCGTGTTCAGCTCTACAAGTCAACATTTTGCCAGCTTCATCGGCTGTCAGGGGCAAGGTGATGTTCTGACTGATGGTCTGAAGGTCGCCTTCGGTTGTCACTATGGGCTGGTGGATGCCACGGAGGATCTGTTCCTCGTCTGTAGTGAGAAAATGAAAATATGTTTACACTTGTATTTGAAAATTTAAGCAATCTGCACATAACGGCAATGGTAAGACTAATATACAGTGTTGCCAACATATATATTCAAAAAGTAGTATACGAGCTGTTAAAAATCGATAATATTTGAATAGATATTGGTAGGCTTCACAAAATAGTATATGATGATAAGCAGAAAAGTCATATCAAAGGAATTAATTAATAAACTGCTCTCGGTTAAACGCTTGACTGACTTAGTACTATTCTTAGGTTTAATTAGATTTAGGCCTCAGTATACTAAGGCCTACATTTACGGAAAAGAAAGAGATATTACAACACTGCTTACATAAGAAGCAGTCCGATCTCCTTCCATGGCTTACTGCATTCTAGTACGTTAGTGGTATCACAAAGAGGCGTGTAAAACGCACAAAGTGCGCTCAGTCCTACAGTTATTTTTATAGTGCTGAATTTATTTACCTCTACGCTGAAACTATTATTCAGATAAATTTTCTTTATTATGTCTCTATTACGAATGCAGTATGCTTTGCATTTTACTACGCTCTTTATAAATAAAAAGAAATTGTAATAACCGCAGAGTCAACGCACTTATTAGTACGTCATTACATTCATCATCGAGTTCATTAATAATTATACAATATTTACCTAGGAGCCATGTGATTTTAGCAACAGGTCTGCCATCAGGTACTATGCACTGCGCACGGAGCTCTTCACCTTCTCTAAATGCAGGCTCTTGTGGAGAACGCAGCTGTGGAGAACTAGGTGGCCCTAAAGGAAAAACGCAAGTTTAGTTTCAATTTATTCATCCTATTATAATTATAATATTATAAATCTGAAAGTTTCTTTGTTTGGATGTTATATGTTTGGATGTTTGTCTGTTTGGAAACTACTGAACAGATTTTGATGAAATTTGGTATACTGATAGGGTATTAGCTGACTCAGATAATAGGATACTTTTTATCCTACTTAACATTTCCCTAGGGTCCACGCAGGCGAACCCGCTGGCGAAAGCTAGTGTAAATATAAATGTGAAAACAAATGATGATAAGTAAGAAACAAAAGGTAAAATATAAACGGAAAACACAAAAAGAGGATGAATAAGCAATAGATCTAAATACAACGTATGATATCCGTCGCCAAACAAGAATAAGGAAATAAGAGTAACGACATTGAGTTTATTGCTCGTACAACCATTGCCAATTTGGATGACACGTCCAAAGTGCCTAATACAACATTTTAATAACAGTTATGCGGTCCGAAGGTATGGAGCCAAATGCTTACTCCTTCTTTATAAAATCAAATCGGTGAACTGATACTCACTAGCGACAACGAGCCGCATGGTTGCTTGCACTTCGATGTTGCCAGATTGCGGAGGCAATACGCATGTAATGTTGCCGTTCCAGTCTTCACGTATATTTTTAATGGTAGCACCGCATTCGCCAAACTGTAAATAATACATTTTCTTTATTTTTTTATATAGATAACTTGAAATATGGGCATCTGTAAACTGAAGTAGTGCTCGAGAAATTCGAAAGTTTCGTTAAGGTTTCGGTAGCTCAATTTGTAGAGAAGTCATCCGAATAGCAAAAAATAGGTTTGATTCCCGTTTCCAGCATCCGGTATATGTAGTTGAATCTTTTAATAACCTTCTTTGGGATAATTAAATAAAATTAATATTATTATATTTGATCAATTTTGCATTCACTATACTGGAAAATATTCTTAATGAAAAGTGTTTCTTGAATCCACTTTTTCCCATCTCAGAAGATGCAGGGACAAAGTGAATTTTTATGCGTTTTTCATTTAGAATTTATTATATTTTTATTTTTCAGGTTCTCACCTGTAATCCTTGGCCGGCGTACACCACTTCTCCGTCTTGCTGGCTTGGTATCAGCCGATAAGGCGTGTTTCCAACTGTCATTCTGGAAATAACAACAGTAATGTTTAAATATATGTATATTACACTAAATCCCTTGCGGGGTAGGCAGATATAACTATTACGAGGGTCAAACTGAAAGTTCTTAGAACTGGCCACTTATAAACAATATAATAAAAAAATAATTCTAAAATTTGAAAATATAACTCTTTGCCAATATTACTGAGTATATATTTCATTCATTTGTCATTTGTTTTACGATTTGGCGGCAAATTGAAAATTGTCTGTGTCACGTCATCGTGAATTTAACACGAGAAAATTTTCGTGCAATGATTTTTTATGACTTTCGATGTCATTTAAGTCAACAAGAAAGTTATGATAGACTACGATTGGCCTTTCACGATGAAGCCCCATCTCGTGCGACTGTTTACAACTGGTTTAATGAGTTTAAACGTGGTCGCACTAATCTCACTGATGATTTACGTGAGGGACGGCCTTCTACGGCGACGACTGAAGATAACATCTGTGTTGTGCGGCGTATGATAGAGACTGACAAAAGAGTGACCTATCAACAGATTCGGACAAGCTTAGGCATCGGTATGAGTCAAGTGCACAAAATCCTCCACGAACATTTAGCGGTCAGGAAGCTTTGCGCCCGGTGGATACCTCATAATTTGACTGAGGCTCAAAAACTCCATCGTGTGGATTGGTGTCGTAAAATGATTGAAAGATTTAACGGAGGTGACTCAAATGCTGTGTTCGACATACTAACAGATGACGAAAGCTGGATTTACTGTTATGATCCTAAAACCAAAAGACAATCTGCTCAGTGGGTGTTTCCTTTCGAGGAGTTGCCAACTAAAGTGAAGAGAGATCGAAGTGCGGGAAAAAAAATGGTGGCCTCGTTCTTTGGAAGGATAGGTAATTTTGCAACAATTGTGTTAGAGGATCAAAAAACAGTTTCTGCAGAATGGTACACTACCAATTGTTTGCCACTTGTCTTGGAAAAAGTTCGAGAGAAACGACCTCGCAGTAGGATCCTCCTTCACCACGACAACGCCTCGTCGCACACCGCCAAGCGAACGATCGACTATTTGGCGACATCAAACGTTGAATTACTGGGTCACCCACCGTATAGCCCCGACCTCGCGCCTTGTGATTTTTATTTATTTCCAAAAATTAAAGAAAAACTTAAAGGAAAGCGGTTTATGAATGCTGAAGAAGCGGTGGCTGCGTATCGCGATGCCATTGAAGAGACCCCTAAGGACGAGTGGGCAAAGTGCTTTTCCCAGTGGTTCCATCGCATGCAGCGGTGTATTGACGTGAATGGACAATATTTTGAAAAGATATAATAAAACTAATAACTGGCTAATGTAATCAGTTTTTGATTTTCTAAGAACTTTCAGTTTGACCCTCGTACCACAACAGACGGTATTTTTGCATATGTATCTCACTGCTTTGACATTTATAAATCTTGTCATACATGGTTGCCTTTTTTGGCTACTGGTATAAAAACTGGTAACCATGCTTCAATTTCTCACCAGGCCTCGACTTCTAACAACTCTGATCAACTTGATCGTAAATGGTTTGGCTTATCCACTCTTAGCTTCGACATTTCTCCAATATCACGCTGTATCAGTTTTGTTATTATTTCATAATTAGTATTCTTTCCACACCGAGACTATCTTTGAAAATGGAAGCCGATAATAATTACTATATGAATTAGAAGTGAAAAAGTTCTAACTCGTGATTTCTTATAAAAAAATATCAATAACTTTATTTATAAAAGTATTATAATCAAACGACTTCAAAGAAAAACATCTATGTTGTTCTAAAAATTAGGTATAATGAAAATATAATATTATTATTAATCAGAAACTTTAGAAACTAGAATGTATAATGAAATCAATAAGAATCGACAAGCAGTTATTCATATAACATAGAACTTTACAGAAAATTTAAAATATTGTTTCCGATAACTTTAAACGCCCAAAGTCCACTAAATAAAATTTGGTACAGTCCGTTAAATTGTTTACTTACTATCAGAAACTTGGCATAGATGCAGAGCTTCTATTACTTAGAATCGAAGTAAGGCACATTGATTTGCCAAAATGCATTTAGTATATCCAATATCGTAAGGCAGCATTTTGAAAATCTTTATTCGTTTTTATTTTAAATTTAGTGGTACCTATAATATTTATCTTCGGGTTTATCACACCTGTAAATTACCTAGTTATCAGGAAAGACTACTGTACTAATAACAAGACGAGTTACCGAATTATATTTAGTATAAATCATAATAAATTAAAAAGTCTGTAGAAAAGATCAATTTAACAAAAGCATGATAAAATATCTAATGCGATTTTTTTGTTTAATTTTCCCACAATCAACATCTTTTCAAGATGTTCTAAGTAAATTTTAATTAACCGTGAGTGACCTCTCTAGGTCAAAACACATTTCCAGTGCAGGACTTATCCCATCGGGGACCCGGAGCGGCATCAGGTTCGGACCTACAACTGGTGCAGAAACTTGATATTGCGTTTACATCTCCTCACCCCCCGTTAAGACGCCTTCTAAAACTACAAAACTAGAGATAAGAAAGATAAGGCAGTTAAACCCTAATTTATGATTTGATCAAGGGAACTTGCAGCCATTTGTAGGTCCTCCAGGACAAGAGGCCCGTGCCGGATCGCCCCCCCCCCCCCCTCCCTTAGTCCGCCACTGCACATTCCCAATGTATAATATAACCAAAAGACAATTTAAACCAACACTACTTACCGACAAGAATCTATGGAGTAGCTGACTTTGCACAGGACATTTAGTTCATCTCCAACCCGGCGCACCGCTTCTCTGGGTGTGATGTCAACAAGTTGACCTGAAAATAAATATACCAATTTAAAGTAACAGCTTACATTTTTGAAGATTTCCTATTAAATATGCTACAAAAACATATTCTGATGCAAGGAGCAATGATATAAACGTGTCTTTTTACATACATACATGTATGTAATTTTTTATGTGTTTAATTAGTATTATAATATTACATCACGGGGAAACTATATCAGATACACCCTTATGTTAGCACAGAAAGCGAAGTGTGGGGCTTTCCTCGGTGGGACTCTGTAGACTGACTCTCGGAAGTATACCCACTAAATACCAGCGTCCCGTGTAAGTCGTCGTCTTAGAGCCTCTTGGTGTCCTTACCATTTACCTCTTGACGTTGGGTTTAAGTACTATGTGAGGATGGTTTCATAGCGCCACATACTTCCGTAAAGGGAACTAAAATTTTCCCATATTCATGCGCTTGACACTAATTCGATTTGTATTCGATGATTCTTGTGCTAAAGGAAAAATGGTGCATTTATTTAAACGGAGGCTTAATTGTCTAAATTTTCAATCGATTGCGATGCCTCTCAATTTGAGATTTGAAAGATATTAACGAACTTCACGTTTCCACTGTTTGACATGTGATAGCGATTGCCACCGTGGAGTTTAATGAAAGATTGTGAAATAACGATGTCACTAACTTAACGTTTATTAGAATTGTAAGGCGAGCGTTAGACGTAAACAATAATTAAAGTTAAAGTTAATAAGTTTCTATTGTCTCTTGGTCATTTAAATCATCGTCCGTTCTAAAAGCGGTAACGACCTTAAACGTTTCACAATTCTATAAATCACTATCACCACCGCTATACGTTTGAAAGGGATTGTAATAGATTTTAAAATTACACAATTAGGTCAGAAGTTCTAGGTCCAGATAAAAATATACGGTCCTGTTGTAGCACTTTGGAACCATGCGAAAAATTTAAAACATATTCCCGGCACTTTTGAAATAAAAAGGAAAGGTCTTTCTCTCCAGGAGCGAAATGAGTTCATTCTGGATTAAAATAACCATGTTGCGGGAGGGTATGAAGTTTTTTTATTTTATGTAAATGGCGAGTTCCATCAAAATGGTTTGGAGAGGGAGAGCTATATCTATGTCGGGTCATATGTAGCGGTTGAATGTTATATCTTTAACGGGGCGATGTGGGAATACGCGCACGTGTTTATTTTCACACAGTAAATATATGTTAACGAGGCTTATGTTTGCAAATATGTAGATTTTGGTCCAGAAATTCGTGTTGTCATCAACAATCGACAGTGACTGTATTATAGCGATTTATGATTGTGACATCACTTATAATAAGTTAATTAGTAATACAATGGTCCTATCGATAACTACTAAAAACTAAGTAAAAAAGTTAAATTACGAATGTTTAGGTGGATTGTCTGAACATTGATGAGAATACGCTCTGCAGTAAAGAAAAAGTAACAAGTGCTTGAAAGATTCATCAGTCCTGTTAGGTCCTAGGTAGGTCCATGGGTTAGGTTTGATCACATATAATAATAAAAAATACGAGTATACTTAAATATAGCTCCTGAATTCTAAAGCAATTTCTGTATCTTTAGAGGTTTACAATGTCTTATACTGATGATCTTTGTGGCCAAGTGGCTCGGACACCGGTTTGAAGGCCATCTCTGATGGAGGACTCAGGTATAATTACAAAAATTCAATGTCGAAAATTTTTCTATTTTGCCTGGTTTGGAATTTGTCGTACCTTCGTTGTTTCAGATTTCCAAAATACAAGTGGAGCCTAAGCTTTGTATGTGATGTTGTGTAATATTTATTATAGAAGGTAGATCGATCGGTAGATAGCCAGTTACTCCGTGATCATGGCACTTCCTATAGCGCTGAAATATCATGAACTCAATAAATAAATACAAGGCTCACACCACTATACAATGATACACAATACAATGAACTCTATTTTCAATGTATTGAGGTTTATAATCAAGTGGAGAAATTTGACAGTTTTGTATAACTATATAACCTGACCCGCAGTAAAACTATAATTCTAATGTGAATGACCATTAAATCTTAAAACAATATTTATTATATTTCTACTCAGTCTGGCCATAAATACTGTTACAATTAAAAATAAACAAAATTTTACTTTTGAATTTCGAATCTGTCATTTCTATATGATTGTTCATTGTCTTTATTTATTTCCACCCCAATACATTATAAAACATTTTGTGGTATTAAAATGGAGTGGGGCGATAAAGAGAACAGCTAGTTATTTATTAATCTGTTTTGTCGCTAAAACGATTCTAAGCTCACATTATACTTAAAAAATAAATAACTTGTCATTATGTTTGCCCAGAACAGGAAATTATAATGTTTTCATTTTTCTTCGTGACATTAATCATTTTAAAGAATCGTAATAAATCAGAAACCCAAAAGAACTGTGTAACAAATATTCACAAAGTTGAACTTTATGAGACCACAATGCGCGTTGCTCTGAGCGGTTTTTGTTGCTGTGTCGAGTTGTTCGTAACAACACAATAAACAGATACATACTGTATTTTGATTCATGAAAATTTTCGTAGTGAACTATTGAAAGTCTACAAAAAAAGTTACCGAACGTAATATTTTTGTAAATCTTGTAAAGTTTTTCGGACAAGTTGAAATTCTAGATATATTATTACTTGCATGGCAGTTCAATATACGGAATTGAGCTGATCTAAATATGGAGTCGACTATAGACATGGCTCTGTAATTATACGATGCAACACCTTTAAGTTAGGGCTCTTTTGGTTTGTTTTTTTTGGGGGACGTCTATGCTCAGCAGTATGAGTCGTACAGCTGTTGATGATGATGATTTGTCTTTACAAGGATTTCGATCCGAAACAATCCACCCTGGATTCTAATAATGGAATTGGAAGGAAGTTCAGGCCCCTTTTTGTCCATATACGATTTCTGAATAGTCATTTGCTAGTGCAGAGATCATGTTTTTAAAAAGAAAATTTAGATTTATAATTATTTTTCTTATTTATAATTATAAGAGGGGAAATGTTAGATTTTCCGTTTGTAATGGCTGGCTTCGATACTAACAAACTAAGGAGACAAGACAAGGAAATATCAACACCCCCTCAAAACACATTCAGTGAAAACATATCCCCTTGATAAGAAGAAGTTAAAGTCCTTAAACTATTTGACATTGTCTGTAAGGAACAAATTTACATGTCCACATAGGGCTGTCTAATGTTCAGATAAAATAACGACAATTTCAAATAATAACATGACTCCAAGAATAAGACACGTATAGTATGAAAAATTATGTGATAACGTGGTCGAATAGCAAGGATATTGTATAATATTTAAATATTATACAATATCCTTGCTATTAAAGAGTTGATCTATGGTCTCGATTTTAGTTAAAGATACTTTCATATTTTTAACAGACTTAAAAAAATTAGGTTTTCAATTTGATAAGATAATCGCGCACAAACGTATTGTGCGCGATTATCTCGCGTTTGGCTGTGCCGATTTTGATACGGTTCTCAGAAAAGTATTTTAAGTATTACGTATATATAAATAATACCAATATCACTAACAAGCATGAAACAAAAACTCAAAGAAAATTGAAATTGGGCGCCTATCATTTAATAACCTACAGAAAACCTCCGCCCGACTTTAATAACATTTTCTTGAATAAATCGTTTTTGAGATGTGTATTATTTATCACTTTATCTAGGTTTGAAATCAGTTGTAATTTTTTTTTAATTTGCCTTTGTCTATCAGTTGACGGGTGCCTTAAGCACTCGTGTTTTCTGCCATATATTCTATATTGACGAATATATTTTATTGTTTTCAGTTGCTACACATAGTTTTTATCCACTTTCATGAATTTCACGACACTCATTTCGTAATCATGGATAACTCAATATATTTGCTACGGACGTTTTGCAACTACTTATGTTTAGTTGGAATTTTAAGTTTTGTAATTCACTACTCAAGTTACTCACACGTACTCCGTCATTATCATTTAACTCACCGAGAGGATAACGCTATAGATTAGGCAAAGTTTATACTAAATATAAGAAACAAATTCCAGTGTTACTTATCTGCATAAAATATATGTAGTAATACTAAGAACCTGAGGTTTTGAGGCGCTGTATGCTGAAAGACGTGTATTAACTCAGTTTAGCAGCAGAGGCAAACTAAATAGGTAGAGTATATGATAAGCTTAGATGTTAGAAAAATATGGATTTTGCTTCGTTGTCGTGGTCTAATAAATATTATTATTATTATTATTACTTAAATATATGCTAATATAATCGACAATTATTCCTCTTCCACTTCTTTATTTTACATTTCTTAAAATAACTTTAAAATCATTTTGTAACCTGTAATGATTCAAAAATAATAATTTGCTTCATCTATATTAGTCCAATTCTTCTACATATTGGTTATTAATTACCAGTTTGCCTTCCGCATTCTTAATTTAAACTATACAATCACAACACAGAGTATCTTTTTTGCAGCTACATCTTATCTATCTATTTTTAAGAATTCTCTTCTAAATCATGTTTTATATAATGGCTTGGTAGTACTTTAATTAATCATTAGTGCCATATTCACAAGAAGCGTTTATTATAACATCTATGATGTCACTGAAGAATTTAATACACATAATCTTTAGATTTATATATTCTAAATAGACAACCCTACGGAGGCGCCGAGATAAAATGCACTTTATATGCATACAAGCGCAATACATATTTACGTATAACTTGAAATTTTGTTATAAACATTTCGGAGAATAGGCAAATTCTATTTTATGCTCAACATAGTATTAGCGACGGAACATTCAGGGTAACATTGGCTTTGTAAAGGTTCCACTGAGCTTGCCATAAATGATTCATTCAACTTGCTATGTACGTCTCAAAAGTTCACTTTTAAGGTTGGCTCCGTGTAAAAACTGTTGCATATATGTATTTAGGTGCTGTAATAAATTATGAAGAACGGATATTAACGCATACACTATTTAT